TCCATACACGCCACATGTGCAGCCGCCATGTTGTCACCTTGTTGGCGCCTTGTAGGGGTGGGCATTGGGTGGGTCGGGTGGATTTTGACCATAAAATGCATCCACCCGCGCTTAAACGGATTGATAATTTTTAACCCACCACCCACCCACATTTAGTCTCGGGTTGGGTCGGGCGGATGGTGGATGATGCGGGTGGGTTTGTGGGTTCACCCACATCACAATGTATATAATATAAAGGAGTCAACTTGACATGATAATATGTGAAGAGAATCATCGAGGGAAACAAGAAGTTGAAATAGGGCGAAAAATATCGAATTAATTGGATATAAATTCTATTATGAAAGAGTTTTCTACAGATTGAGACGATTATTAGGTGCAAGGAACTAAGGAAAATAATTCTACAAAGGAAAGAGCGGTGATCTAGGCACAAGAATTAGAGGAAAAAAGTAAAGGGAAGAAGAGGGGATATCTATTTGGAAGGTTGGCTTTGAGGTTCAAACTCCAGGAGCAGTCCGAGTTTATATCTAACGTCTCCACTCTCCTCTCTCTAGCGCCAAAGACTTTGATCTTTTTGTTGTTGGGTTGAGCGGGTCACCCGCACACTCACCCACAACCCACCCACCACCCGACGGATGACTCCCAACGCAACCCGTCACCCACCCACAAACCCACCCACTTAACGAAATTCGGGTCAAATGCGGGTGGGTCGGCCCAAACCCGCGGATGATCCGCCCGCATGCCCAGCCCTAGCGCCTTGTCATCTGCCACATGTGATAGATCTCAATGAGCATGCCCCCCTCATTACTAAATCCAATCCAATCAGGTCAAAGTGGATAAATTTTAATATTGATGGATTTTGTAATTGGTTACTGGTAAAACCATTTTGTGGAATTGACGTATTGGATCGATTAAAAATTTGACAAAAATGTGATATGTTTTTCAGTCAACTCATATTCAGAAAGAAAAATGAGATCAAGCATCTAATTCTAATAGATTATTAGATTGTGGATGTTAATAGTCTGTATAGCCAGTGGCGGAGTCAGAATTCAAAATTACCCGTGTTCTCTTTTCATAATATAAATAAATAATTAATTTAATTAAAACTAATATCTAAACAATTTATTCAAAAATACCCGTATCCTCTTTTAAACAAGAATTAGCTTGTAGTGTAGTGGTAAAATATTTTTAATCAACCTAAAGGTCATGAGTTCAATCCTTAGATTCTATATATTTTGTGATTTTTTTTTACTCCCAAAAGTACCAGTGTCACAGGACACTGCCCGGACCCCTGCCTCCGCTTCTGTGTATAGCAATATAATCCTAATAATATGAATAATTATTGTTGTATTATTCTTTATAATAACATAATTGTAAAAAACATTTTGATAATATAAAAATGTGGGTTATGTTCATAAAAGAATGGACACCACAACTGGATTGAGTTTTTTCACTTGAAAAATCAGGTGTATTTTACCTAGCCTTTTAACGAATGCTCTTGTTAGGTTGGATTTGAGTTCGGAATAACCCGAGTCAATCTTAGCCATTGTCATCCTGCTCGGACCCCCTGCCTCCGCCTTTGTGTATAGCAACATAATCCTAATAATAAGAATAATTATTGTTGTATTAGTCTTTATAATAACATAATTGTAAAAAAACATTTTGATAATATAAAAATGTGGGTTATGTTCATAAAAGAATGGACACCCCAACTGGATTGAGTTTTTTCACTTAGAAAAATCAGGTGTATTTTACCTAGCCTTTTAACGAATGCTCTCGTTAGGTTGGATTTGAGTTCGGAATAACCCGAGTCAATTTTAGTCATTGCCATCCTGCTCGGACCCCCTGCCTCCGCCTTTGTGTATAGCAACATAATCCTAATAATAAGAATAATTATTGTGGTATTAGTCTTTATAATAACATAATTGTAAAAAACATTTTGATAATATAAAAATGTGGGTTATGTTCATGAAAGAATGGACACCCCAAAGATTTGAGTTTTTTCACTTAGAAAAACTAGGTGTATTTTACCGAGCCTTTTTACGAATGCTCTCGTTAGGTTGGATTTGAGTTAGGAATAACCCGAGTCAATCTTAGCTATTGCTAGGGCTGGGAATCCGGTCCCGGTTTTCCGGTCAAACCGGAAACCGGCCAGTTAAAACCGTGTCGGTTGAAACTGGAAACCGGATCCCAACCAATCCAATCCAGTTGCCGGTTGTAGTGCCCACAGACCCGGTCCAATCCGGTTAAAACCGGAAAAACCGGATAGCAACAAATAAATAAATCCCAGCCCCCAGCCCAGCCCGCTAAATCACAACCCATCCCCAGCCCACCTCACTTACATCACAGCCCAGCCCAATATCACTTTCCCAAACCCTAATCGATCCAACTTCTTTGTTCTTCTCTCCCCCTCTGAACCTCAAACTCCTCTCATTCCCAATCACAGAGACACAAACCCACACACGAAGAGGAGGAGAAGGAGAAAGAAAATCCAAGCTCTTATCATCACCCAATTGGCTCCCTCCATCACTCTGCCGACCGTAGCCACTCCGCCACCAGAACTCGCCAGGCAGCGACGACGAGGGCTAGGAGATCTGATCGATCGGCACGCGACGGCCGTGACGACGAGGAGATCCGATCGATCGACATGCAACGGCCGCGATGACATGCCTCTCCTATACAGAGTTCGCATGCTCCCTCTCTCGCTCGATCTCCCCTTCCCGGCTCTTGCGACTTCAATCGATTCTCCAGATCCAACTCTTCTCGCCTCTCTAACTTCAATCGAGCTCATCGGTAGGGCGAGCCAGAGTGGTGCTTGAGGGAGAAGAAGGTGATGCTTTTATTGTGTTTTGTTTGATACAGAAGAGGGAGAGGGAGAGGGAGAGGAAGAGGGCGAAGAAGAATCGCCAAGGTAGATTAAAAGAAGGATAGGGTGGATTTTTTGGGAAGTAGGAATAGATTAGGGATTGTACGTGTGGTTGGTAGGAGAAGGCTAATTGGATTTTTTTGTTATTGAAAAAGCTGTGTTTTTTTTATATAAAAACGGCTGTGTTTTGGGATTGAATAAAGGAGATCCGGTTTTTGGGTTGAAACCGGATCAATCCAGTCCGGTCACGGTTAAAACCGTGTACCAATCCAATCCCGTCTACGGTTGGGCATATGACCAATTCGGTTGTAAAAAACCGGGTCAATCCGGTCCGGTTTAAACCGAACCGGACTGTTTCCCAGCCCTAGCTATTGCCATCCCTACCTGTGCTAATTAATGAAAATAGAATGCTTCTATTGAACGTTTTAATTGTGGAAAGAAAAGCTTAGAAACATCTAGAAAAAATGAAGTTTAGAAACCATGGTCTACAAAACTGTACCGGAGACCAAATCGGAAAAGTTAACGGTAGGGTATTTTATGGTATAATCGTATTTTAATCACAGTTCAACCGTTAGTATCGTAAAATACTACCTATCGATTTAGCCTCCAATACTGATATTTTGTGGTTGAACCGTCAGTACAATACGATTTTATGTACCACGTCAGAGTCAGTTTCTGAGTTCGGAAAACAGAGGAAAGCAAAACCTATCTTGTTGGCCGGGTGTATTATATATTTGGGGCTCCATTTGGTTGTTAATTACATAGAGTTAGCTGGCTCATTCTTAGAGCATCCACATTGGTATTGCATTCTCAATTACAAAACTGATATGACATAAGTGTTTGCAATTCCAAAACCAATTGCATTGATGTGACTACCAATTGCATATTTGCAAGCTTGCAACAAATGCAATTCTGTATGCAAGTCAAAAAAGCCTAAAAAAATAGGGATTTTTTATTTTATATTATTTTCTTTTCTCTTTTACTTAATTTTCTATAATTTAAACTTAATATTTAATTACATTTGCAATTGCAAGTTAATTGCATTGATATAGGTGAATGAAATGAATGTGATGTAGATTGCAAAAAATTTGAGTTGACAATAAAAAACACAAATACAGGGTTCATTTGGAAGTTGCGATTGTTTTGTTGAGATTGTCATTATGCATGTATTGTTTATAATGCATCATTTTTTTTTTGTTTTTTTAGCAGAAACAATACAAGGATTGTTTCTATGATGTGACAGAAACTAGGGCTGGCTATTTGGACCGGGACCGGATGAAAAACCGGAAACCGGACCGTATAACCCGGATCGAGACCGGACCGGGACCGGATAGTAAACAATCCAATCCAATTTTTGGGCTTAGATTTGAGGTAAAAAACCGGATAAAGACCGGATAAGAGAGCTCAACACCCAAAACTTAAGGGTAATTTGCATAAACGGTCACAAACCTTTACACTTAGTACAAAACTTAACCAGCTCCTCACCCTTTTAGGCCTTAGGCCACTCAAATTCCCACAATTTCAATATAAAATCAAGACCGAATTGGGACCGGACCGGGTCAAGACCGGACCGGATCAAGACCGGACTGTATCCAATCCAATCTTCGGTCCTTATATTCTCAAAAAAACCGGACTGGACCGGATCAATTTGGGCCAATTTAACCGGACCGGACCGTATAGCCACCCCTAACAGAAACTATCACTCATTTTGAGTGATTGTTATATCTCAACTTTTAGTTGTGATTGTTGAGATTGTTGAGTTGAGATTGTTTTGTCTCAGCTTTTAGCTGATGCGACATACACAATCACACATACTAAACGTTGTATTCTACAATGCATCAAATTCGACAATACATGTATAATATTATGCATACATTCTCAACAATAAATCTATTTAACAATTGCAACTTCCAAACGACTCGTATTTCTTTTGCAATTGCATTAATAGAGATACTCTTAAGTTAAACTCTGAATAGCCATAAAATAAACAGAAGAAGATTTAGCCCAGCCCAAGTAACTGGTAAGGGATTAGGGAAGAAAGACGACGGAATCCCTTCATTCTAAAATCTGCAGTCGTCCTCCCTCCCCTCTCTCTTCTCATCACCCCTTTCCCTTCGCATATCACAGCTTTTTCCAATCCCTAATCGTTTGATTGAAATCATTCTTCACTGCAGCGTCACCCTCATTGCCAGTCTCGCCCAGCTTTGACCTGGGTCCACCTGGTTCACCTAACTACCCTGTTCTGGCCGGTTTGGTCATATGGGTATCGGTTTCTTAGTTTTATACTCGGGCTTCTCTGTTTCCAGTTTCAGCAGCACTTTCTGGAGGAGATAAAGAGGGAGAGAGGAATCAAATAGGAGGTGGGTAACGCCGAAACTTTGGCGGGAGTCACGTTATTCGCCGAGCCCTCTGTTCGGTTATTGTAGGTAACAAATTCGCCCCACCAAACCAAAGAGACACGAGGGCCAGCACCGTCTTCTTCTTCTTCTTTCCCACAGTATTCAGTACTCACAAACAAGTTCATAAATTGAACTGCCTCGCCATATTGTACAGACAATCAGAACATGCGAAGGGAAGGCTGCAGCCTATACCAGACTCCCCTCTTCTCCCTACAGCCGGAAACTGCTTCTCAGGTTCTTTCTCCGATTTCCTTGTTGCTTTTGCTGCTGCAATGGAGAATCTGCTTTAGTTTCTCGTCTTTGTTCTCTGCTTCAGTTTTTGGCGGTTTGGGTTCTTTGTCTGATTACCCTTCACCAGTTTTGACTTGAGCTTTGTGGTTTTACTTGTCGATTGGGTTGGGTTGTTGGATCCGAAAGAAATTTGCTGTCTTTATTCTGATTTTCTAGCTTTGATTTGGATTTTTGTGATGAATAAGATAGTTTTTTTTTATCATGCTGTTCATTCTAGCACGTTAATAACTCAGATTTGCATTCTTGGGATAATCAGGGTAGGTATTTTTACGATTGATTCTGCTCTCTGATCCAAAAAGTGTGGGGGAAAATGGATAAAGCTAATGATAGAGCCAGTGGGTTACTAGGCAGATTAAGTGGTTTCATGAGGAGTTGCCTCTTCAGAGTCCTACGCATGGGTCCAATCCCAACCCATTACTCCTTCATAATGGATGGCAATCGACGTTACGCCAAGAAGGTGAACATGGGGGAAGGAGCTGGTCACAGGGCCGGTTTCTTCGCCCTAGTCTCGGTGCTCAAGTACTGCTACGAAGTCGGGGTGAAGTACATCTCCATCTACGCCTTCAGCATCGACAACTTCAAGAGGCGCCCCGATGAAGTCAAGACCATAATGGACTTGATCCTCGAGAAGATCGAGGGGCTTCTCGAGGAAGGCAGCATTGCAGATCAGTACGGCGTTAGGGTTTACTTTGTTGGAAACTTGAAGCTGTTGGACGAGCGAGTGAGGATCGCAGCGGAGAAAGTCATGGAGGCTACTGCACATAACACCAGGTGTGTGCTCTTGATCTGCATAGCTTACACTTCATGCGATGAGATTGTGAACTCGGTTAGAGAGTGTTGTAAGGATAAGTTGGAGGAGATCGAAGATAAAGAGGGCGGTGGTGGTGGGGTGGTGGTGAATGAGCATTCAGCTATACAGTTAGTGGACATTGAGAAGCACATGTACATGGGAGTAGCTCCTGATCCTGATATTTTGTTGAGGACATCAGGGGAGAAGAGGTTGAGCAATTATCAGCTATGGCAGACGACTCATTGCACGCTGTATTCTCCCACAGCGTTATGGCCTGAGATCAGTCTATTGCATGTGGTGTGGGGAATATTGAAGTTCCAACGGAGCTATGCTTACTTCGAGAAGAAGAAGAAGAAGATGTTGTAGATTATGGAAGGTCTACGTATAGGGGCTCTCCTCTATTGTGTTGTAAGCTTGTTGGAAAATCTCTGCTCCTGATTTACCTCGAATAGAGTGCTCACGTTTGCATTCTGCATACAGGCAGTTTCTATAGATGATCGTTGATTCATGGTTGAGTTGAAGTTATATATGTGATGATAATAGCATCATTGGTTCTGTGCTTATTTTGTGAGAATGCGGAGAACAGTGAGATGGCTGAGACGATTGAAGGTATTCAATTGAGTTAGTGGGTTCTGAGAATATCAGCTTTTCCAGTTTCTTGAAGTCACTCTGCATTTTGCAGTTCTTCCATTTGATCATTTGGCTTCATTTGATCTTTCTTCTGAATGGCCATGGCTTGTAGTCAGTTAATATATTCTGAGGGTGAGAATTTGTGCAGATTATATCATTCACTCCTTGCTTGCAAGCAACTTGCAAGTTCCAAACCTTTTTAAGATTCTTTTATATTATTTAAACCTATCGAAATACTAAAAATTAACCAAATGTTAACTTTCAGTTAGCAATTTTGTTGGTAATATTGATTTGACAACATAATACTGATTTAGAAGAGACACATGAAGGTCAACATGGCAAAATTTTAGTATTTTAACTAAGAAAAGAGTTACAAAATTATTAATGATAACGTAAAAATGACTAATCTTTTGATGCATTACGAAAGATTTGGTTACTTAATAGCATTTTAATAGGTCTGGATATAATAAAAGAACCTGAAAAAAATTTGGATGAAAAATAGACATTACCCATTTTTCTTTACTATAATCCGCGGTAGTGATGACAGTTTGAACCCGCGCTGCTGGTATTACCCTCCCCGCAGTAGCGTGGGGCGGGGTATGGGTATCTACTTCAGACTCGTCCCGCCCCGTTCTAGGTCCATTTTATCTCCATTTCTTGCAGTATCTATATATATTTTTCCTATTTTGACTTTTCTTCAACTAGTTAGAATCGATCTTTCAACTTGTTAGACTCAATTATCCATCATATTATCACGATTTTGCATTCATAAAGTTTTTCCCCCTTCGTTTTATTGTAGAATGTAAAATTTAAGTGTTTTTTTTTTTTTTAAATAACATGTAAAATTAGGTTACCCGTCCCGCCTCATACCCACACAGGTTTAACCCGCCCCACTCGTAGTAGTATGGGGTGGGGCAAGACTGCAAGAGTATTGAGAATTTGAGATACCCGTGCCCTATTGCCACCACTAATCCGCGGGTTAGATACAGGGGCGGAGCTACAGCTGGTCTTGGAGGCCCCCCCCCCCCCCCCCCCCGAGAATCGTGAAAATTACGTCTAAACTACATCGATATATTGAAAATTTCGTAAAAATTAACAAACTATCTAATAAGTTTAGTGTGCCAATTTGAAGAACCAAAGTAAGCGTAGTCCAGCGTGAGAGGAAGGGAGTTATTATGTAGCTGATTGGGGGTTCGATACTCATCCTCTGTCATAATTACGTTTTTAAATTTATTATTTCTTTACTCATTAAATTAGATATAATTACTTTCAAGTTTCATGTTGTATGGTTTCTTCATTTCATTATTTGCAATATTGTTTCTTTGCTCATTTAATTTCAAATTTAGTTTTTTACCACTTTGCAATTTTATATCACTGAAAAATTATTCATTTTGACCTTCCATAAATTATTCTACATCAATATTTTGACTCTAATCATCTAAAATGATTAATCATAATACTATTAAAAGTAAAATTTACTTTGATTGTCTTGCTTAGTTTTTAATTTTTTATCACCTTTCCGTGATAACAATATAAAATTTTTTCGTCCCCCGAACGTCAAATCCTAACTCTGCCCCTGGTTAGATACATTCATAAATGGACTTGGGCCGAGAGATCGATCAGCCCATTTGTTAGAGAAGGCCCATGCCCGCTTTAGCGGAGGGAAAATGTAAAAACAGAAAAGTAGCAAGTTTGTTACTGGAATCAACTAATCAGGTAGATGAAAACCTTAAAAAAAAAACAAGCTGTTAAAATTTAGAGAGATCTCATCTCCACACAGAAACCAGAGGAAAGGTTCAAAAAAAAAAAAGAAAAACAACAGTGAGAAAAGATGGCGTCGAGCGGAGCAGCGGGGCCGTTCTGGAGAGCGGCGGGGATGACGTACGTGAGCTACTCGAACAAGTGCGCGAGCATGGTGCGGAGCTGCCTCAAGGAGCCTCACAGGACCGAAGCCCTGGAGCGGGAGAAGGTCCATTTCTCCATCTCCAAATGGGTCGACGGAAAGCCAGAGAAACCTTGTAAGCTAATTTTATTACTCTCTCTCTCTCTCTCTTCTCCTTCCTTCTTGATTACCGAATTGTGTATTGGTTGAATTGGTTCATGAGATGATATTCATCGACGTTTCTCATTGTTCTTACGGTAAATTACGGTGATCTCTCTCTCTCTTTTTTTTTTCTTCTACAGCGATCCGGGAGGGTACCGGAGGAGATTGATTCAGGTTGTGGAAGATGAATTCAAATCGAGAAGCGAATCAAGCCTACTCTTTTTTTTTCCTTTTCTTTTCGTACGAGAGAGATTCATTTGGCATGTTGTTAGTGTTGTTATCATCATCAAATAATAACGAGAAATGTTCTCTCGTTTATTTATGTAAGTTTTGTTTCTTGAACGAAATCATTTAATTTGCGATTTCTTTTGTCACATAGTGTTTGATTTTGCTTCCATAAAAAAAAAGTCTACCAACACCAGATCCGATCCGAGCATAAACAGTTAAATTGTTGGTATTTCAATATTAATAGAAGGTGTTTGTAATTTCAGGCCTTACAGGCAAGTTATACCACCGATTAAAACCATGCTTCGATGTTGAAATCGGGGACATTTTGATTACAATTTCACTATCGGTATCTCACAAAGGGGTGTGCAACAATCCGAAGATAATCTAACAATATCACGAGTACCGCAATCTATTAGTAAAAAAACATATTGCGTATAAGGACCATACCATTATTATATTCGGGGTGATCTGATCCAGTCCAAATATCAACTCGGTCTATTTTTCTTATACAATTTATAGGACTAGTCACTGAACCACATTTTATTCAGTCCGTATGATCCAAACATCGATTTGCTCAGTTACAGTCCCGTACAAACCAAACCATTGCACACCGCTACCACCAACTCAATACCAATGCTATACCGGTTGACTCGAGTACCATAATCAAGAACAGAACACAGCATGCAGTAGAGATCCGAATCAAACAATAATAAGTTGAAAACAGAGAAGAAAAGAATGCTACTGAAGAATTTGATTAGCTTGTGTATAAAAAGTAAGGACCGAGAGACAAAAAGATTACATGCCCCAATCATAAAATAGTGTGTAATTTCCTGGTAGAGGAACAAATTACAGCCTTTCTCCCCTCCTCAGTAGAGAAATAAATTACTATAGCAACAAAAAGAATCGATCACTCAAAGTGACCTGTGGTAGTAAAAATATCCGTTTCCCTCTTCTAAACCTCCACGACAACCAAGTAGTGGTTGATTCCTCCAAAATACTTTCATTTTGAACAGAGAGAACAGATTTGGAGAACTACTTTGTTTCTGCTCATACCTTTTCTTCAGCTTCCTCGGTGGCATCCGCCGAGTCTTCCTGCTTCTGGGCTTTGCTGCCGCCGTTCATGGAAACGCTGCGGCGCTCTTTCCCTCCGGGCCTAGCTGAGGCGTTGCCGTACCAGACCATCCCAGCCACGGCGATGATCATCCCGAAGACGACGTGCAGGTTCAGACCGTCCTTTCCGAAGAAGATGAATCCCAGAATCAGGACGAGGATGGTCTTCATGTGTCCCAGCACTTGGAACGACACGGCGGTGAACCTACCGATGCAGATGAACTGGCTCAGGTTCGTACCCACGGCGATGGTGCACGACAGAACTATGAACGCCTGTACCAGATATTAACATAAAAAAGCGGATGACGAATTAGATTCCCCCTGAACCATGAGAATCTTGAAGTGCCGTTAGGATGCGATCATACATACGAATATACAACAATGTGTTCTGGAAAGACACGGGGAGCTACGTGGTTTAGTTTTGTATCAGGTTGGGCCGAGAAAAATGTTGAATTGTCAGAAACGATGTATACTTAGAACTATAGGAAACACTCCATGTATACTAAACTTATGCCCTGAAACTGTATGCATGATGCACAATGACCATCTCTAGCATTGGCATTGGCATTGGCATTCCTAGAACCATGGACAGACACTCAATAAGATTACGAGAAAAACACACACTTACTAGCATTGGCATTCCTATAAATGCTACTAAGATTAAGAAAGCCACCACTACGACGATGTCTCTCCACTAGCGTTCAAGGTTCTACTGACAAGATATACATAAAAAGAGAGATTTCGGTTTAAATCGATTAAGCAACTCCCTATGACTTGGAAAATTAACTCTGGCGTACATGCCATACAATCTACCAATGGTTTTACAAAACACCAATTGGACACTTAAAGCCCTGTCCCCTAGACTAAACGTCATGGACACTGATGGTTCTCTGGAAGTTTTTGTTCATGCATTTGTTGTTGTTTCTTTGGTTTTGTTTTTGCCCATCTAGATGGAGGTTTGACTAAATTGACATGCATACTTTAATTTGAATGATAATGGAGAGGGAGCTAGAAGAATGGTTACAGGCAACTCCTAGATTCATAGCAAGTGAAGTGATGAAACTTGAAAAACTCACCACAGATGTGAAACTGAAGGGATAGGCGTCCACTCTTTTACTCGTCAAAAAGTAGTCCACAAAGGGACCCACTAGCAGCAGAGATGAAGCTTGTGCTGGAGCAGTATGCCCCAACAAGTTGAAAGAACCTAGATTGTACCTCCGTTGTAGATAGTGTACATACTGCACAACAAAAACAAGAATACGAGTGTCACAACTCTAGAATGTAAGCAAAAACACTCCTACATTAACAAAAGTCAACCTACTCAGCCCAAGTTGAGACTAGCCATGCTAGGTATGAACAGCTACTTACATATTGCTGCAGCGAAGTGCTCCAAACTGCTATTAAGGCAGCTATGAATCCTTTGGCATTAACGCTCACATCTGTAACAGTACAGACAGCAACTCCGAGAAGGACTACTAAGATGCTTAGTTTGGTGTCTCTTGAATATCGTACTTTATCCAAGACGACTTCCAGAAAACATGAAACAGGGATCATGCTTAGCTTTGCAATCTGATAAGTTTTGAAAGAAACAGAGGAACTTATTAGTTTCTTAATTTCATTATCATAATTATTAGCTTCTAAAATTCCTCAGAAGGATAAAGAGCACACAGTTTAGTAGTTCAACAAAGCCTCACCTGATAAAATCCAACTGAGTTCCACATTAGACTCACGTTCATACCAACGATGGAGAAGTTTGCAAAGAAAACAAACTTCAATAGGTCTCCCAATGGTAAATGAGACGGCTGGATGTATCCTAGCCATCTTAGGACAAGCGTTAACAAGGTCGTTGTGGCAAAATGGAGACCGGTTAGCGTTGTTGCTGCAAGCCATACCAAATTGAACAAAGAATATCAGACACATTCCAAAAAGACTAACAAGTTCTACCAATGAAGTAAGTATGAATCCGAAAACCCCATCATAATGTTAGAAACACAGGACGGGACAGCTGCATATTTCAAGCAAACTAAAACCCGGCAAAAAAAGCATAGTTCTTTTTCACCAACTGAGAGAAACCAAATTCCCTAAGCAATCTCATAAGAAGCAAAGTTACCATCGGTTGAAAGACTTTAGCAGCAGAAGACTTACCAAAGCTAAAGCCATAGGTAGCCATGAGAGCTTTGTTGACGAGGATAATTCCAACAGAAGTGACGACATTGAACATCCATGAAGCTGCATCGAGAGATGCCTTCTTATCAGCTTTGCTTGGCGAAGACATCCTCCCTCTCCTTCTCTCTCGTCCACTTAAAGCTTTCTCGATGCTCGACGAAATTCCTCAGTCACAACAGATCGTTCTTCATGAGACTACGAGTGCGAATGTCTTTGAAAGATACCGCAGCAGAGTATCTGCATTCACAATGACAAATTCACCATCCGATTTCAAAGCCAAATTTGGAATTGAATCTCAGATTCAACTAAGGCTTCGTTTTAAGTAGTGATTGATCACGAAACAAGACTATAAAAAGAAAGAAGTCCAAACGAACACGCAAATCTACAGAGTCCTCAACCGGATCGCCATCGGAGAACTCCAGCGCTATTAAATAAAACCCTAAAAAGATCAATTCTACCGGCGAAAACGCAAACAGAAGAAACTCAGAAAGCACGCAAGTGCAAAGCGAAATACCTCATCTGAACAATTTAAGCGGAGTAGAGACTAGGAAGAGAAGGGGGGAAAAACGCACAGAGAGAACTCAATCAATCCTGCGGGGAATTAGAACAAGAAAAAGGAAAGGTTTATCGCGCAAGGATCTGTCATCTGAATCGCGAGCTGGAGCGCAGAGAATCGATCGTGAAAGATCAAAGTGCAATTTTCCCAGCCGAGATGAAGCAGATCCATCACTCGCCGGCGGCACAGCAGTAGGAAAATGAGTACGGAACTAAATCGGAAATCCAGCCGCCGGAAGGGGAATGATTCACGTCTCAATTTCAACACATGGAGATGCGAAACGGAAAGAGTAGCAGAGATCGCAAACATCCAGAGAAACGCCTAGGCAGCAGAACGGCATAGAAGACGAAGAAGAAGAGAGAGTGAGAGAGAAGAAGAAGAAGCACCTTTTTCCGGTGAATTTGGAAGTAGCAACAAGCAGTAGCTTTTCAGCTCTCCCCTGAGTCGCCGCCGAAATAGAAAAGCCCCTCCGTCTCCCGTTCTGGCTCAGATTTTTCCCCGGGAACCGAACGGAAAGGGCAATGCGCGGAGAATTAAGGACGACGGGGTTTGACAAGGGAAGGAAACGGGGAGGCCTCGGGATTGACGGAGGTGGGATGGAGAGGAAGAAGAAGGAAGTGTGGGAGACGAAATCGCATGGAGCATGAGAGAGAGAGAAGAGAATGTTTTAAAAAGGACGAGAAAGGAAACAATAAAACCAACAAAAAAAAAAAGGAGTGGAAAAATCAAAATCCCAGCAGTTATTTGTGTGATTTGGGGAAAAAACTCATTCATGAATCATGACATGAGTGAAGTTTCACTTTCGCCATTAATCACAAACAAGGAATATTTGTGGTACCGTGCTATATCAATGGCTGGAATATAAAAAACTTCAACATCGTTTTATAATTATGATTGCTTTGGTAGATATTATATCGATATATTATCAGTAAAATATATTTATGAAATTTGAATAACGGGTTTTGATGAAATTTGAAAATAGTTGTGTTCTTAAGTCTCCAAACATAATTTTTCGTTATCACTTCTAGCCCACAACAATAAGGCCCATTCTCCACTTTCTCTCTCTAAGCCGTTAAGCTCAGGGAACGGCTCCCGCTTACTGCGCTCCCTGTCAGCGGAGTTCTCTCCGGTGGGCACTTTTTGCTGCTGAAATCTTCTTCTTTTCTTCTTATGCTCCTCGTAATGGCGAGGGAACGATCCTGGGAAGATCTCTTTGGTATTGCAGAGGAGAATCATTTGGTCTACATCGAGCCTGATATCGTGGGTGGAGGGCTCCGTATCCTTGCAGAGCTCGAAGACGAAGGCATTGCTCACTGGTAGCATTGTCTAGTAGGTTAGTTTCTCTCCTCCTCTCCGCATATCAAGCAAGTCCAGTCCTGGGCGAATACGGGTTGTGGGGCAAGAAAGGATCGATTAGGGTTTCTTGGTTAGGGCACCACCTACTGTTGTTTCAGTTTCCAACGGACCAGATAGCGCACTGGGTATTTACAAGCGGCCCTTTGCATCTTCATACCGACATGTGCTATCTGCGAAAATGGGAATCGGGAATCAGCCAGAGAGTCCTAAACGAACAATTCCGTTGTGGGTGAAATTCATCGATCTACCGCTAGAGAACGTCACTGGAAGAATCCTAACTAGTCTAGCTAGTATGATTGGGAGGCCTTTGTGGTTTGATAAGTCGTCTTGAATTAGGCATAGGTTGGGATATCAAAAGGCGTGTGTGGAGGTTGGATTGAATACCGTGTTTTCGGAGTCATTGAAGCTTGTCCCAAATAGAAGGCCTGCTTTTCATGTCCAACCCAATATTGCAATAAGCCGATGGCTTGTGAGAAGTGTCGTCAGTTTGGGCATAACTGTGTTGAAGAAACTCCTATCCAACAGGTGGAGGTGAATCCTGCCCAGCCGAATGAGGTGATCCCAGTTCGACAGGAGGAAGAGGTGGCAGTAACTTGTGTGAGAAGTGATGTTGGGGTGACTGCAGAGGGTAACACTGGGGATGTTGGTGGTCAGGGGGAATTGGTGAATGAAGAAGTTATCTTGCAGGACAGTCCTGGGGGGGGGGGATTTAGGTGGTATAGGTGACACCTGAGGAGGAAGGATTTCAATTGGCAGTAGATAATCTTGTCACATGCTTGGCTCCTGCTGGAGGTGTGAATTGGCAAGCTTCTAGTGTGATTCTCCCATCTGAATCTGACTTCCAGGCAGTCGTGGCTGATCATGGACTAGATACTTCATCGTCAAATTCTTTTCAGACACTATCATCACTGGATCAGTTTGAGGTAGGGTCTCTTGTTGTCTCTCCCCATGAATAATTCTAAGGAGTTTCATGAACTGCAAGTAAGCATGGCACATCAGAAGGTCGGTAAGAAGAAGGTTGGGAGACCTTCAAAGAACAGTAAGAATGGTAAATGATAGTGTTGTCCTGGAATATGAGGGGCTTCAACAGTCCTGAAAAACGGGAAGAATTAGTGGAGATGGTTAAGAAGTATAAGGTATATTTAGTAGCTATACTTGAAACAAGAATTAGAAAGGAGAAAATGCATGCTATAAAAGATAAGTGGTTTCCAGATTAGCAGGTAGAAGACATTTACTCAGTTGCTCAAGTAGGAAGAATGTGGGTCCTGTGGAGAGCAGAGTTAGCTTTTTCCATACTAGAAAGTGGGGATCAATTTGTTCATGGTGAGGTACAGGGGGCAGAGCAGATGCAAGTAACTTTGGTTTATAGCTCCAATGAGGTGAGGGAAAGACTAGACTTGTATCACAAGCTAAGAAGTGTGGTCGATAGGAGTAAGCCATGGATGGTAGTTGGTGATTTTAATGTTGTTGTTAGTAGTTAGGAAGCCTCTCGAGAAGACGATTTGGGGGAAAACACTTAAGATTTTAATAACTGGATAACATATATGCAGCTGGAAGACCATAGGGTGGACGGACCTTGGTTCCCCTGGTCTAACAAGCAACCTGCAAACCCATTAGCCAAGAGGTTGGAAGGGGCAATGATGAACACTAGTTGGCTTAGCAAGTTCCCTCGAAGTGCAGTGAAGATCCTTCCCGCGGGGCTTTCAGATCACGGTGGTGTCCTAATTCATACGGATACCCAAACTAAAACCATCCCTAGGCCGTATAAGTACTTTAGCTTCTGGAGACAACACGCAGATTATGAGAGATTGGTCAAGGAAGGTTGGGATTTTCCTGCTAGGGGTTGTGCTATGTTTCGTCTATATAAGAAGCTAAAGCAAGTAAAAGCTCGATTGAAGAAACTAAACAGGGTCCACTATTCTGATATCCATGAGAGGTGCTTCTTGCAAAAGCATCCCTTGATGCAACACAAATTGAAGCCTTGGAGCATCTACTCCAGTCTCTTTTAAATAAGAGGAGTGTAAGGTCCGGCTTCTTAAACTGCAGAAAGATAAAGAGAGTTTTTTAAGACAGAAGTCAATGCAAACTTGGTTAAAATAAGGGGACAAGAACTCAAGGTTTTTTCATAGTTTTGTGAAGTCCAGGAATAATAGAAACACCATTAGACAGTTAATCTTTGAAGAAGGGCAGACTATTACGGATGTTAAGGAAATAGGGGAGGAAGCTATTAAGTTCTACAAAAAGTTGTTGGGTGTGAAAAATGCAGATGTCAAGAAATACAACATCAATATGATCAAAAAGCTCTTTATTCATCACCTTCCCCTTGAGATCACAAATTTATGTGATCCTATTTCATCTGAGGAAGTCAAGGCAATGGTTTTTTGTATGCCAAGGGACAAAGCACCTGGACCAGACGGATTTACGGCTGAGTTCTTCTAGCATAATTGGGAGCTGGATGGAGGTCTTGTTTTTAAAGTTGTGCAAGATTTTTTCAACTCAGGAAGATTATTGAATGAGGTCAATGGTACGATTCTTACCTTAATCACTAAGATCCCCAATGCAGACTCTCTTAAGCAATACAGACCAATATCCTGTTGTAACTTTTTGTATAAATGTGTGTCAAAGGTGATTGCGAATAGGATTAGAGAGGTATTACCCCTAGTGATAAGCAAGAACCAGTTTGCGTTTATTAAGGGTAGGATGATTAGTGACAAATGACAATATCATTCTAGCTCATGAATTGGTTAAAGGGTATAGAAGAAAGAATGTGTCGTCTAGGTGTGCTATTAAGGTGGACATAATGAAAGCATTTGATAGTGTTGACTGTGAATTTCTGTTGACTATGTTAGAGGCTATGGGGTTTCCATTACAGTTTATTAAGTAGATTTAAACTTGCCTGGAATCATCCACATTCACTGTCTGTATCAATGGAGGGTTAACAGGGCATTTCCAAGCTCGAAAAGGGTTGAGACAAGGGGACCCCATGTCCCCTTATCTGTTTGTTATCTCAATGGAAATACTCAATTGTATGTTGACTAGAGCGGCAGAAATGAAGGTCTTGCCATTTCATCCATTATGCCAGAGGATTGGACTGTCACATATGTGTTTTGCAAATGATCTACTTATCTTCACAAATGGATCAGTGGAAGGGGTGTAGGGGATTACTGAAGTACAAAAGCAGTTTTACTGGATCTCAGGTCTTAAATGCAATCCACAGAAGAGTGAGCTCTTTTGTGATGGAGTTAAGGATGATTTGAAGGCTGAATTAATACGTCACTCAGGTTTCCAGGAAGGATATTTACCAGTCAGATACCTTGGGGTTCCCTTGATAGCAGACAAGCTTAAAGCTGGTGATTGAAAAGCTCTTGTAGACATAATCTTGAAAAGAATCACAGGTAGGCAGACTCCCACCGTTTCTTATGCAGGAAAGCTTCAATTAGTGTCCTTTGTTCTAGCTAGTATGGCTCAATTCTGGATGATAGTTTTCCAATTGCCAAAAAAGTTATCAGGGAGATAGAGAAAAAGTGTTCTACTTTTCTCTGAGGGTCATAAACAGGGAGAGCCAAAGTTATATGGAAGATTGTGGCCTTGCCAAAGAAGGAGGGAGGGATAGGGTTCAAGGATCTGCACAGTTGGAATAAAGCCTGCCTAGTAAGGCATCTCTGGAATGTCCTATCACACTAGGAGACTATGTGGATAGCTTGGCTTAAAGAATACAGGTTGAGAAATGTTAGTATCTGGAAATCGTGTACTCCAGGAGCTTGGTTGTGGAACAAGGTGCCGAAGTTGAGGGGTCAAGTATAGGGCTGCCTAGTTAAAACAAGGGCTGGAGTGACCTAGGAAGGGAAGCTGATGACTAAGTATAGTATTAAACCAGTATGGGAACGATTTAGACCTAACCAAGGAGGTAAACCATGGGCTCAACTGATTTGGAAGCAAGTACAAATACCAAAGAATTCTTTGATCACTTGGCTTGTCACTCTTAATAGAATCTCTACCTTTGATAAAATCAAGAAATGGCATCCAGAGTTAGTCAATAAGTGTCCTTTATGTATGAGACATGAAGAGTCCAGGGACCACATTTATTTTGAGTGTCCATTTGTGCAGGAGGTGCTTCGAGTGGTCTTCCCTGTGAGCTGGGGCTATCAACCTTGACCAGGATGGAATGATGGCTTACAAGAAGCAGTAGGTAAGTTCCAGAGGTGTTGTATCAGGAGAGTGCTTTGGAATTTAATGGTAAGTGAGATATGGAGGGAGAGGTGTTGTAGGGTATATGGCAAGAAGATTCTAACTGCAGAAACTTTGATTGGAAGAATGAGAAGTGTGATAGAGGGTTCGTTGCTCAGTATCTCACACAATTGAGTATGGAGGTTGAGAGAAAACAGCTCTGGTTCATGTAGCTAGGAATTAGCTTAATGGTTATTCCTTCTGGGACATCCGTACATACTTTGTGAGTCTGTGTTAGCTCGTAATGAGCTCTGATTGAGCCTATGTTGGTTTGTG